GCTAGTAGGTTGGAGTCCATTGCTAGTAGGTTGGAGTCCATTGCTAGCAGGTTGGAGGCAATGGCTAGTAGGTTGGAGGCCATGTCCAGATAAAACTCAGAGATAGATATTCAGATGTTTTTGTCACTCCTTCTTGCACTTCTGACGCTGACACTCCTCCTGACGCACAAATCGAGCTTCACGCGCCAGGCAATCAGCTAAGCGATCTGACGGCTTCGATCGCCGGGGAGGCGGGACCCAAACCAAACCGGCAAAGAGGGATCGCCAAAAAACCAACGGCCTCTTAGTAGCTCGGGAATTCCAATGGAGCCAAGAAACCATCTTAAATCTTTGGAGCGCAGTCTGGAGTCATTCGACAGCTAGGCATGGCTAGGTGGATCCAGGTGGGTGTTGGGCGTCCTTTTTGTGGCCGCCCAATCCCCCAAATGTGCCCCTGGTCAGCCACCGATTTGGGATCAGCCGCTTCTTTCCGCGCCGTTTACGACTTGTGCAGACGCTCTACAAGCGGCCGGGGATGTCCATCAACCTGGCAGCGAACCACTTGAGCCCAACCATCAAGATGTTGCTCGGGGAGGTGCAGACGTCAAGCCGGAGTAAGCCAAAGGGTCGGATTTGAGGATGGGATTGGAGAAGATATGATGGAAACAAAGTCCCTCAGGTTTGGCGGGGGAGCTCTTGGAAGAGATGAGAGCATGTTCTTTAAGGCGATGTTTTGAGTGAACGAGTGTTTCCTTGCGGTCTGCGCCCGGCGGTGTTCTGTTGATGTTCATGCATTTCATGCTCGCGATTGGCATGACTCATGGCTGACGTCCATTTGTTACAATGAATTAATATATTTTTTCTTTCTATATGTATATCTAAAATATATAACTCTGTTTGCCATCCATCTAATATTGTCTAATACAGCCTGATCTTATACTATGTGCATCCTATCCATCTATGTGTTTGTCCATCTAATTGTTCCCCAGATAGCGTGAACTTTGTTTTTTTTTACCTCAAGTTTAGGAAGAGGTGCCCGTGTGCGCTTTGGAGCCTGGGTGCTGGTGACGTGTGGCCGTGTAGCCGCTGCTACGGTGCTGTCCACCAATAGTAATCTTCGCTATTTGGGGTCTATGCTGGTGTAATGTCTCTATCTACCAGGAACCTACCAGGAATCCTCGTGGAGAGGAAGCTGAAACTTATGGCACACACACACACATGCGCACACGGTCAGACGTCCGACATACGTTTGACATGCTGTTTGCTGAAAGACACGTGACCTGACGGCAGGAGCATGGCACCCGACTTCGGGTCTGAGCACAAGCGCGTTGGAAGCTGCAGCTTCCCACGCCCGTGACCTAAGCTAGCTTGACCTCCGGAAAGAAACGGACGTTGGAAGGCTTCGATGAGGCATACAACTGAATGGAACGGACGTATACACTGAATGGCCGAAAGCTTCAGGAAAGGAATCAACTTAATACAGGACACACACGGTCTTTCACCGGCCCCGCCGCGATCCAGCGGCCAAAACAACGCCTTCGAAGACCTTCTGCCCAGTCTTCACGTGGCGTGCTGAAATGCGGCACGCTGCAGCGTCTTCTGTGTTGAAGAACGGCCAGAAGAAAAGGGAGCGAAGGGCTGAAGATGGCTATAACTTGAGTCCTATTACCTGAGTAACAGTCAGTCAACAATTATGTTTTTAGAGAAAGGCCTTTACTAACTGGATAGACCCAAGCTACAAGTGCAGAATCTGTAATCACAAGTGACAGCTATGATCGCTCCTAGGAGTTCCTTAAACTGCAGGTTTCGCTCTCAGTGGGATCAGTGGGAAACCACCCAGGGAAACCCCCAGTTTTCCGGGCTCGATGGAGATCGTAAAGCGAGCAAACTGCTTGGGTTTCGGACCGCGCCCACGGAATATCAACTCCCTGCAGCTCGAAAAACATGTATTTTTTGATTGCCGAATGCAAATCGAGCGAACACGCCAAATGTCATACCAAAGTATTTGCGAGGTTGTCAGTGCACGCACGAATCATTGAAAGGTTAGAAACATGCCACATGCTTGTTTTTCGTGGGGTTTGTCAGCAGCGAAGGAAGGCAAAGATTGCAGTGGCAAAGTCGAAATGCTTCGGCTGTTGCAAAATGTGCAATCTTACGAATCTCATGGATTTGGCTTCGCCTGTACATTGTTGGATTTCGCACAGGAAAGGGCTAATCTATTTTGTTTAGTTAGTTTTGTTTGTTCTTGCCGCCCTTGCAGGGTTCCAGCATTCTTTGCAACTTGTCCAACCGATCCCAGCCGACGCTTCAACCGTTGGAACGGTGCAGACGAAAACGACCGCGCGACGTGTGGCTCAAGGGGGTCAGCGACTCGGCCGCGGCCCACATGTTCTACTCTCACGCACCTGATAATCGAACTTTCCTACTCATTTCCATGCCGGGTGCCCTGAGTTGGCGGGTCTTTTTCCGGTTCGCGGTGGGGACCAGGGGGAGAGTCTTCTGCCCCCCAACACAGGGTCCAACCAGGGCCGTCTCAGCGAAAGGGAGATTGGGAGAGGACATGCGAGGCTTTTGGACGAGCATCGACCACTTAGAAGATCTTAGAAGTGTCAAGATAGAGTAAAGAAACATGAGTGGCAAGGAGGCTTGCTGCACTTCTCTCTTTCCCCTTGATGAACATTATAAAGATCTCAGAAACACACACTCCTGGCAGATGGGATTGACCATGCACATGGCCACCTTGACTTAGTAGACAGCCCAACCCCATCCAACCCCCCTACCCAGCCCTTTTCCCTCCCATCCAGAAGAACCCCCAACCCTACAGAACCATAGAGAACTCCACCCTTCACCGCCGCCCCGCGGCACGGTCTGAGGCCCAGGACGGCACTATTATTACTGGCCCGGGGACTCAGAACCATTGGTTGGTTGTAGTAACAAGAAGCTATTAGTAACAAGTGCATCGCTAGTAGTAACAGGTGCCTTACTAGTAGTAACAATGTTCGCTACTATTCCCTGGTTGGTTGAATAGAGGGAACACCAGGGTCCTAACATCCGCTACGTGAACATCCGCTACGTGTACGTACGTGGTACCAAATCGAGCCCGTTGGTTCCCAAAAGGATCCAAAAGGACAGAACGCCGACTCCGAACGCTGCCCAGATGGAACCCTCTGAGTGAAAAAGGGATCCAGGGCAAGCAGGACTCCGCTGCTTGGTCGACTCCGCCCATCGGAGCCATTCGATCCCCGAAAGGGTTCGAATCCGATCGCAAGGACGAACGCCACCGATGTTTCAAATGTGTTTTAAAGCTACAACTTTCACAAGTTGCCAACCACCGTTCTCAACATCTTCTCGCCCTTTTGACAGGTGTCTTCGCCTTGGCTTGATTCTTTCCGCTGAGACCTCTCCACATCGTTTTCCGCACGGACCTAGAAGCAATGGCTTACAACCCAAGAGCGATAGCCTCCAACCTAGGAACCAAATCATTGGTGCTTCTTCAAGGCTTCCCCGCTGCTTTTAGGGCGGCGGGGGGAGCTTCCTTGAAGCGCGAGTAGCTACCTAGCTACTACTAGTTACCTACCTCACCTCCAAACGCGGCCTACCCCCATCCCCTCCCTAAAAAAAAGGAAAAAGACATAGCCATGGGCCTCCAACCGAGGCGCTCCTCAGCGCCCACGGCCTCGAAGAGTCCATCGCGGCCGACGGCTCCGTCGCAGGCGCCGCGCCGCGCCGTCGGAGCGCACGGAGCGCCCGGCGATCAACGACTCGGAGGGTGGAAAAGGCTATATCCCAGACACGGCACATGGGACTGCCATGTCGGACTGCCGAGAAGCGGCCTGGGGTGGTTTTGGGATGTTTTGGGGGTCAATGTAGGCAAATATGGCAGTCGCATGGAGTGTGTGGGATACTTATTATAGAATGTGATTTAGGAACCCCTTTGCGAAGGCAGTATATAGTATAGAATGTGAATAGAACCCCCCCTCTGCAAAGTTGTAAAGTCGTTCTTTTTTGGAAGGGACCACCGGACCGACTTGCGACCATGTCATGTGATGTGTGAGTCGGTGTAGTGTAGTGGTGTAAAATTCCCCCATGTGTTCTGTGCCACTCCCGTGCAGAATCAGTTGATTGAAGAAACAAATCATGTCCTAACCGAGTTTTTCTGAGGGCCTTGATGAAGAATGAAGATGAAGGTCAGCACGGAATCCACCGCTTGTTTTTTTCCCTTGAGCGACTCGAGACTCGAGACCATGTGGTGAGTCTTTTTGTGTTCCCGATTCCCTTTGCTGTGATGAGAAATCATGGAGAATCGGATTGACGTGGATCCAGTTCAAGGGTGTTTCTTTCTCAAGTCGACATAGCAGTGGTTCGTTTCAGCATGGGTGGGAGGCTATCGCTACTAGGGTGGCCATTGCTATCCATTGCTGATTGAGCCCTTTTTGGCAGGATCAAAACGTCCCTTGAGTTGCTGGTGTTTTTTGGGCTGGACCTGTTCAGTGAGACCCGCGGGCACCGCGGGCACCGCGTCCCGCACACCAAGACCTTGATCCGTTCGGCCTTGGGCGATGAGTTGATGGACGTGCTCTCCATCGTATACCTGTCGTTCCCGAAAAACACTGCTAGGGTCCGGTCATCGATGGGTTGTTTTATGTCCTTCATGTTTCCTCGTCTGCCATTGCCCCCCCATATTGCCCCAGTCGAAACCGGTGCCGATCTCGAAGCTGGTGTTTCCACCCACGGGGCGCGCGTTGAGACCGCGTGGCAGGACTTGATTCATCCAGCTTTTTGCAGAAGCCCGCGCAGGGTAAGGCCCCGCTCTTCTCGGCTGCGTATCGGCTGAGCGTCCGAAATCAATAAAGATAACGGCGGAAGCATGTTTCGTCACAAGAGGTTCTGGACCAGTAGGAAGTGAATCCAGAAATGACCATATTGTAATACACTATAATACACTAAGATCTGCAGAGAAACCACTCAGAAACCTTGAGAAAGCATCAAGGGATACACTATCATATTCCTATCTCTTGGCCTTCTCCAATCTTGTGGAGCTGCTTCGCGCCGAGTGCGCTGAGAGCATTTGGTCAGGACAACGGCACTGCGCTGGGCCCCGCGCCCCACATCATTGGCTTGCGGCGCGAAAGTGCGCGGGAGCTCGAGCAAGATGGCGGCGACCATGCGAGTTGGGAAGGAAACAACTCTGAGAGGATAGGAGGGGATGGGTGAGGGGCAAGCCAGGTTTTGCAACAGGAAAGCAGTTCTGAACGAAGGATGCAACGATGTGCTTGATGTGTTTGGATGCATGTTGCTGAATGCTGATGCACTTGGAGGTCTGAGTAGGTCTTAATGAGGCAACAGAACTTGGGTCCCGTCCCTATGAGAGTGTGGGCTTAGAAATATTATGAAATATCGAATAGTGGCCAATTGCCGGTAGTTTAGTCTTGATCACTGTCTTATGTGGATCACAACACTTCGGAACAAAGCCAACTTGCGTAACTTGCGGTCAACCTCCCGCCCCTTCACAAGCCCCTTGAGGGAAGAGAAGCACCAACAAGCTCAGCATAGCAGGAGGTCACGAGCCAGGCACATGAGGTCACGAGCCTCAACCTGGTCAACCTGCCTCTACCGCCCTGCGCCGCCCTGTGGGTCCCAGGTTCCCATCTACCGCCGGGGCAAGATCGCCTCCTTCAAGACCTCCTACTCCGGGGTGCCGGAGCCGCATGCGGCCGCATGTGGCGCACTGCGGAGCACCGATGTCGGGAGGGACAAGGATGGAACATGTGGAGACTGCTGGAGACGGCCATGGGAGACCTTACATAGGTTGCCATGCAGTCTCACACGTGTTCCTAATAGCGAACATTGTTACTACTAGTAAGGCACTTGTTACTAGAAGCGATGCACTTGTTCCTAGTAGCGAACCTGTTACTCATGTTGGGCTTTGTCCATCTTTTTCCGCTTTCATTCGTCCTACCTTTTTTTGCAGCATGACCCAAGCTTTCTGAAAGCCTTTGAAAGTGCATCCAGATGCGCAACAAGTTCCACCTCTTCAACCTTGAACGGGTGCAAGATCTGGCGGCACATCTCCTCCCAAATTGAAAGTAAACCCAAATGATTCACTAGTAGCTACTTGCTCCATCTTGCTCCTAGTATGGCCAGGAGCCCCATTCGCAGAGTCCGATCGCTCCGTTCGAGTCGCGATGCCAGGAGCCCCGAACGTAGCTTCGAACGTTACGTTGGTAGCATCCATTTTCGGGACTGAAAGATGCTCAGTTGCTCCACTGGCACTCCTTTGCTCTCATAAAATGCCCTCGAGCTGCCACTTGCACACTGGGGTCAGGTGTTGAGTGTGGGCTACCCCCCTCAGGCGAGGGGCGGTGGGCGGCCCATGGGGTACGAGGTCGGTTGGGGTGGCTGGCCAGCCCCATTTGGGCATCTCATGGTGAGCGGTTTGTGGAAGAAAGGCTCGGTATCCACCATGCTTTTGAACTATTGCCCCTCAACATTGGTCAAACCAATTCAAACCCAGTGGAACTGTTTTGTCTCCACACACGCAAGAGAAAACCCATGAAACCCCCAAACCCACTTTGTGATGCATGACTTGCAATCATCTACTTGCAGAGCGACTTGCAGCTCTTCTACGTGGCTTGCATATCACCAAGTGACACAAGTGATCAGTTCGCAACTCCCCTCCCTTCTACTGATGTTTGCAATGGCACCAAGGGGTCAAATATGCCTCAAATCGTCAGGGCATACGTATCATAGAGTGCCGTGACTCGTTTCGCTCGAGTAGATGCGAGCGCAATAAAGGGACTGCTGGATTCACCGTGGGATCTGGATCTGTGGCATTGTATGTGAAGCTTTCGCGCCTCCAACCCCAAAGCGGTAGCGATGGCCTCCACCTAGTTGCGTTCTTGCTACTAGTAACGATAATACTAGTAGCTTCTTGTTACTAGCGTACTAATGCCAGGAGCTACCAGTAGCGTCCTTGCTCCTAGTAGCGATGGCCTCAACTCCGGTTGGCAGGACTTCCGGGTCGTCTTCGACACGGGCTCCGCACACATCATCCTCCCAGCCTCCGAGTGCCAGTCAGAGGTCGTGCAGCCCAGAGGAGCTGATCCATGGCAAATCCGCGGGAGATCGATTTGTGTAGACCTGGCGCTCTCAGCTGACAGCTTGAATCGTCAAACAAAAAGGACCTGAGATCGATGTTTGCTTGTTGTTTCCTTCCTATACCGCCTATGCCTCCCAAGGAGAAATGAAGAAGGAATCGGGGGTTGTCAGATGACATTCCACGAAACTGGCTTCTGCCAGTTTCCGCATTCCACGAGGCCTGCTTGGCCAACAATCGACGGCACTACGACCAGAATCTCAGCGCCAAGTGGGAAAACATGGCGTGCGCATGCATTCGCGGGGACTCGAAATTTGAACCTTTCCTACGGTGGGAAGCGATACGAGCTGGTGCTTAATTAGGAGCTAATTGATAATTACTTGTACCAACTCGAGGTCACATTGCCTTGAATCTAGTTACGCATCATGACGCATCTATGAAACTGCCAAACATGTGCGGCACCTTTTTGTGCACAACGTGTGCCCAGGAAGGAATCAACCACATCCTTACCCATCAATGCGGACGGCTCCATTGTTCACGAGGGTGACATGGGAGAACAGGCCTGGTGGCTCAGTTATTGACCTATATTGGCCAAGGGATGAAACCAAAACGAGGAGGAGCAAGCAAGACCGGACAGGTGATTGCAGTTGTAACTCTCATGTGTTTTTCTCCGATTTATATATGATTCAGTCTACGATTGCCTCAACGACACATTTGTCCTGCTCAGTCATGGAGCAGGAATAGTTAGATCAATTAACACCTGCAGAAAGAGAAGCCAGCATCTACCAGGACCCAGTGACTGGGGGGGTTAATGGACACTCCTTATTTCATAGCTAAGGCCCTAAGGGGCTATAAATAGACCACCCCAAACGGCGGGTCGTATGGAAGAGGCCATCCGGCCGTTCCGATTCGATTCGCTTCGAGCTGAGGTGACGATCGGCTTCGGGACCGGAGAGATTACCGGGGAGTTCGCCAAGGATACGGTGCCGGTGGCGGATGGGGCGGATGGGGCGAGGGGTCCTTCTGGATGACCAAGAGGTTGTTTGAATGGTCTAAGGGTGAAGCCAGAGTTATCTACATTTATCTACCATCATCCGGCAGATGATTCTGAGATGTCTTGTAGCTGAAAAGCTGATTCAATTCTACCAGCACCCTCCTGGCCAGGCTGTTAGAGGCTTGGACCCTAGGTCTCAATTGGTGACCCTCCAGGCCTCCAGGGTCCGCTGGCGACGGAGACTCCGATGAGCGAACGGAGACTCCGTTCGTTGCGGTTTACAGGCTGATTTCGGATCTGATTTCGGTATTTATGGGATTATGGCAACCGACCAAAAGGATCCAAAAGGCTGGCTTATATGAAAGGTATAATAATTTCAAGATGTTTCAAGTGCCTCAGCTAGCGACATGTACAAAGCAACAACCACGTGCAAGAAGCCAGCAGGCACTCTTCCACCAGGCAATCGCCAAGTTCATGGGAAGTACTGCACTTCGTTCACATTCCGCCTCCATGGTGAACTTCTAGTGCGAGATACGGTGTGAGGTTTTTTTGATGCTTGAGATGTATCTTCTGCCTGCGGTTCAAACCGCCAAAGGTACAAGGCAACATCAGAACCGCTGAACATTTGGATATCTTTGGACCATTTCTTCTTGCGCATGCTCGGGTTTCCGAGTGCATGCCGCGGTTCCGGGAGCCTTCCCCCGCCAGCCGCGGTTCCGGGAGCCTTCCTGCCACGGCTTCGTACCTCGAAGTCGGATCCTCCGAGGTGTGCTTTGGCAAAGGTCAGACGAAGGATGAGCTTCGGAGTCCTGGCCTAGCGGCGCCTAGCGGCGCCTAGCGGCCCTGGCGGGCGTTGTTGGGGTATGGAGGAGTTTTGGAGCTCACGTGTTCAGTCACAGGCAGGGAGTCAAGCAAGACACATCGTTTGGGGAGTGGTTGTTGTCAGAAATGACCAGCCGCAGGTTACCCGACTTGGAGAGCAACTTGAGGAGATCCAAGCCGTATAGAAACATATATGAAACATCATAGACACGCCATGAAAGCTTCCCCAAAAGCTTGCGAGATCTGATGTCTGCAGGGCGCGAAGGAAAAGCATGGAAAAGAACTCTTGGAGCCTCCATGGATTCAATTGGCATGTGCCAAACCAAACATGAACCAAGGAGCTTGAAGGAGGAGCAACGGCGCCAAGAGGACTGACTGTTGCTGTTTTCTGCCAGCTGTACGAAGAGTGACCCAGTGTCAGTCTCTTGAATCTTAACGATTTTGGTTGATTATGACGAGTATACCAAATCAAACGATAGACCAGGAAGCTGTAGCAAGGTGTTTGCAGATGGACCCGCGTCATCCAGCGTCCCTCCGAAAATGACCGTTGTACGCCATTTGAAGAAGCAGCTCAGCTGGGTGAGGAGATTGCTGCTTTGATCAAGCAGGAGAGCCTACTCCTCCACGACTATGAGGCACAAAGCATCAAGCAGCACCCAACTCATGATGCATGTTCCTAGTAGCTTATGGTTTCTAGTAGCTTCTTGTTACTACTAGTAAGGCACTTGTTACTAGCGATGCAATTGTTTCTACTAGCTTCTTGTTACTACTAGTAAGGCACTTGTTACTAGAAGCGATGCACCTGTGCGATGCACTTGTTACTGGGATCGTGGGATGCATACCATCATGGATGTGGAAAAAGAAGCATCAAGACGTCTTGGATGCCGCACTTCGCAGCACACACCACTCAACTCATGCTCATCTCATTAGCATAGGCATATTCCAATACACTCCGACGAACACATCACATGGAAGTGGATGGCATGGTCACATGGTCCTGAAAGGAAGACGACTTTCCTTTACAAACCGGGGGTGTTGGTCTCCACGTCACCATTGTGGACGTGTTCATGGTACCGTGGTACCGATCAGGTTTGGGGATCCGATTTCGGCAAAGACCATGGAAGAAAAAACACTAATTGGCCACAAAGACCTGGTGGCCTGCCCCAAAAGATGTTTAAACAATCAAGCTTCAGGCAAGTGGCTCGAGCCAGAAATTGTCTCCTTCCAGCCGCGCGACACGCTTCCAGCGCCGCCCAAAGCCCATCGTCCCACGTCAAGATGGGCATGAACCATATCACCGAGCCGATCTACGTGGACCAGCACTTCGAAAGAGGTTTTCCTCTACCACCACAAGCCATGTGCTGCTGCCCGTGCATGATGCTGTGTGTGCCAAAGATCCGCGGCATCTTGAAGGGCTCTCAGCCATTGCCTGCAGATGAGCAAAAGGCACTGCTGGAGCAAATGGCCGGAAACTGGAAGATTCAGCCCTTGGATGGTGGCAAAGGGACCTTCCAGTACGAGGATGCGATGGTGCGGGACAACTACTACGTGCTGACTGGAGGGCAAAGGAATCGCGGCCATGGCAAGGACCGCCATGCCGTTGCCAATGCGCCGATGAAGGAGCAGTTCCACTTCTACCGCGGACCCAACGGGGAGCTCTACATCGACAACATCGGAAGCATGATCACCAAACTGGACTTTGCCAACGGCGAGATTGAGGCTGGAGCATCTCATTTGGGAATGCCAAAGCATGAGGGAAGGATGGGGTTTAGGATGGTTTAGGGTTTAGGATGGTTTAGGGTTTAGGATAATCATTTGGGGGAACGGCACTTTGTGTTTGTAAACTTTGTAAACGATGTAAACGTTGGTTTTGAGTTTTGAAGATCAATCAGTCCGAAAGCTTCCTGGCCCAAAGATGAACAATGGTATCGGCTTTGTTTTGCTTTGGCAACGTGGATGGAAGCGTGATGGTCTGCCACCACCTCAGCAGCAGCAAATGGCGGCTCCGGCTGCGGTAGCGACACCTGTGGTGGCTGCAACTGTAGTGGGTGCAGAGGCTGCTGCTGCACCCACTCAACAAGCCTGAGCGAGAAGGAACACGGTCACCACGCACCACGAGAATGGAGTGAGCTTGACCTGCACAGCCTTGACAGTTTTCACGAGCGTGGCGCCAAGCGCCAGTGCATCTTTTGGGGTGTGTCAGGGGATGCTCTCGACTGTGTCCTCCTCTTAAAAGATGGAGAGACAAAAAGTGACTGCCATGCGTGGAAATGGACAAAGAGTTGCAGCAATTATGATACGTGTTTTTTTACATTTAGAGTTGCCGCAATCTTTGTATCACCTGCATGATCAGCGGGACACCAAATCAAACGATAGACCAGTTCCGCTGTAGCAAGGTGTTTGCAGATGCAAGGCGGCTGTGCCGGCTGTGCCCAGGCAGACCACGAGGCGGAGCATGCCCACGAGGTGGACCGGGCATCGGATGGCACCGAAGTCGTGGCAGATCACAGCGCCTTGGACCGACTGGCCGAAGAAAGAGCCCATCCACGAGAGGTTTTCGGTTGTCAGGTGTTTTTGGGCATGTTTTGGTCAAAAGAACAGCGTTTCTGGCCATTCTGGCTGGACTGATGGTTTGGCACAGGGTGTGGCCTAAGATTTTGGCCATGGGCATTTTCCAAGGCCTCATGTGGATGGAGATGAAACTATACGCTATCGGCTACTAGGCAAAGTTAGCTATGGCCTCCAACCTAGTAGCAGGCTATCGACACGATTTCAACAGATAGACCGACCATTGGTGCTTTTGAATTGTTTGTTCTCAAAAGAGCCCGCGAAGAGTTGTCCGGAAAGCACAGCTGCCAACCATCATCATCACCATCATTGTCATTGTCATCACCGTAACCTTGTGTCAACATTTTCCTAGGTCCTATAGCAATGCTTTCAGGTCACCCTGCCGTCTAGCTGTTGAGTCAATGTTTTTACATGTTCCCAGGCCCCATGTGTATGGAGATGAGCATCATCGTCGCCGTCGAGATGTCCACTGTGCCCTTCAAGACCTTCAAATTTGCCGCTGGGATTCCGCCGCGCGGGGACCGTGCGTCGGGGGACGTGTGTCGGTCAATTTGGTTGAGTGACATGAACGAAGATGGATATAGAGTGACATGAATGATGATGAGGTCCGTTCAGCCTGCCGAAAGCTCTTGTTTCAAACCATTTCTGGAATGGGTTTAAGGGGAGGTCTCTGCAAATGGAAGTTTGATGCAAGAGTCTGGGCTGGGCAAGTTCTAGAAAATGATTAGGAATGTTTTGCTGTGTTGACCCTTTTTTCTTGCAGTTCGCTGGAAGGATTCTGCAATGACTGACGTAGAGATACGAAGTGGTAGTTAGTAGCTCCAGCCAAGAATATCATCATCTACACCAGGATCTGTGAAACAGGTGAGCCGTTGCGAGAGCTCGCCCTGGCCAGTTTCAGCCAGAGCCCAGCGAGAAAGGCTAGGCCGCACCCTCTCCCGACGAAACTCGGGAGGGCCACCAGATGAGAAAAAGAAACAACGAAGAAGGGTCCGACCCTTGCCAACACTCCTCTATAGAATGAGGATGAATGAGGGGGGCCATACTATCCTCAAGCAGACGCACCCTGCCATTTCGATTTTGATCGATTTGGATTGCTCTCTGAAGGCGATGTCGCTTGATGAAGCAGGGAGCTGTTGGTCATTTGCCACCCCCCCACATCCCGCAAAACTGCTCGGGCCGACCTCAGGATGGAATTCTGGGGCTGTCATTGGATGGCTTGGCGATGAATAAGAACTTCAGCACCTTTGACATGCCCCCGGGTTTTAAGAACGGAGACGTTCGCACGTTCGCACGAAGGGCCTTCGAATGCGCGGGACGCCGAAGGGCCGAACTCGCGCGAAGAAGTCGCGGTGAAGCTGTTCGGTCGGTCTCGGCGCCTACGTCCGCGGGACCCAATGAATGCTGGGAGTAGATGCGCCATGGAATGAACAGATGTTCGTTTCATATGGCCTAGGGCTCCAAGTACCTTCTGAGAAGGTGTTTGGGGTGGGTTTAGGGATTGTTTCTGGCGGCCTAAGTTCCATGCCACAACCGCCACAACTGCAGCACCTGGCCCCACAACCATGCGGCCCACAGGGCCAGTCCATCAAGCGACAGATGCGTTGGCGGAATTGTGAGCATCATCGAGTATGACAAAAAGACATGGTAGGAAGATGCAGGAAGGCATCCAACCAGCCTAACCAGCCTCCCTGCATCCCGGAACAGATGAGATACTCAACAGGAAGTGCCGATTAAGATTGATAGACCTCTAGTACGTAAGAAGTTGGAAAAATGTAACCGCAAGTGCTGCCCCACCTGAACCTAATTCGCCTCTCTGGATTCCTCCTTATTGCGCATTTGATTGCCATCATGGGAGCTGCATGGCTGGCAGTAGTACTGGCTTGGACGGCTTTGACTTTGCAAGGCCGGGGAACTGGTGGGAGATTGCTACGGTGTCTCAACAGTGGGGGCTGCGTGGATGGCGTGAATGTTGAGCTGAACGCTCCGGACCTCACATGAGCTTGTACAAAATCGTTTTTCTTTTTGGTTCGATCAAGTCGAGAAAGAATCGGGGACGTCATTAGCCATCAAACTCATGGATGTCCAGCTGGGTTTCAACCACCACATCCACCACCAGCTTTATCAGGTTCCTGTGGTAGCTGGTCGGTCTCGCTTGGCGTTTCTGAAGACTGAGCACTCTTCACTCGAGAGAGTCGCTGTTGTGCGGGGGGGTTGGGGAAGAAGCGTTTGAGATTCATTCATCTCACATGCCGTAGCTCGAGTGTTGGAGGCCATCACTAGTAGGTTGGAGGCCATCGTTACTAGGTTGGACCGTGGTGAGACCACGAGGCTGGAGGAGTGGTTGACCGTAGGGAAAACGCCAAGTTCGACCAACCCCGTCCTGAAAGCGGGCCATGTTCATGCTACTGGCTTGTCACCAGATCTATCCAGATTAAGTATGATTAACTCATATCATCAAAGCGAAGCATTTGAAGAACAATCTGCAAATATGTTTGCTGCTTTGTTTTGCCCGGTCAGGCTGTTTGAAGACAAGCCTGAGCACGCACACCACCCACACTACTTGGACAGGAGCCTTGCTCTCGCTTGCTTCGGCGAATGATTCAAAATATCGGATCTATGATCCAGCAGGGCCGAGCCAGAAGTAGATCACCGGAGATGACTAAAACATGTTCAGCCTTGCGGAAAAACCTCATCGAGCACAGGCCAAAGCCAAGGGCTGAAGGGCTGGGCTTCAGGACCGCGTTTCTGAGAGTTCTTTGGTCCGTGCCTCCTGTGTCACGGACCAGGCCCCGTCGGCACCAAGTGCAGCCGCATGAACAGCCACGGGCGTCAGATGGATTGTGGATCCAACGTGGAGGCGTCGTGGACGCACGGACGCATCGTTTGGTCATCGAACGGAGCGTCTCGACGGGCGAGAACTGGCCTTACTAGGAACAAGGTTTGCTACGAACGGAACAAAGGGCATCGCTACTGGTACGTAGCTAGAGCATGCTAGAGCTACTAGTAGCATTTTGCAACTAGCAACACTACAGAGAGCCCATGTGCGTCATGTAGCGTCCATCCTTGCCATGTCGGGGTGGTTGGATGGTGGGTCCATGTGAGTCCTCACTGAGGATACTGAGGCACTCAGCGCACTAAGAGAGGAGACACGGTCAGCCAGTGAATAATTGGTCGAATATGATGCGCTAGTGGGGGGAGAAAGGGTGGCATGTCATGACGGCGGATTGTAGGATAAATCCGGTATAACTTCCGGTATAATCAGGTTTGTCCTTCAGTGTCTCTCCTCGCGCGTGCGGCACTCGTGGCGAGCGGCGGTCGTGGGTCCGAAAGCAGGTTTGTGGCGTGCTGACTCTCGAGACTGGTGAGGGCAAGGGGAACTACCAACACCCTGAGCCCGACGGCAGCAGACGGGGAGGAGGGACGGCAGGAGTTCCGACGCCAGTGGGAGAGCCACTTTGTGTCGACGGCAGGGCAGAGCTGAGGGTCGAGGATGGACACAAGCCACAAATCCCGCATTTCTTGTGGGCCAGCCTGAGGTTGGCTTTCTTGTTCCAAGAAGGTGTGAGAGAGAGAGAGAGATATATATATATATATTGTATATACATTGAGGGCACAACGTTGCTTGAATCTCCTATTGTTTTGGGCGGCGGCGGGACCTGGCTGGACCGTTGCCCTGTCCAATCATGAAATCTCCAAGGCCCGTTGTGCATGGCTTGTGGCCCCAAACCTCTGGCTTTGGAACCTCCGAGCGCCTTGGGGCAAAAAACAAGCAGGGAGGCGGATGCAGGTGGAGGCACCAGGAACATCAAGGAACAATGAAAGACCTGACATAGGTTGGAGAGGCCATCGCTCTTAGCTTGGAGACCATTGCCAGTAGGTTGGAGGCCGTCGCTATTAGCACAACTCCAGGCTTCCAAGAGTTTGCAGCCTTGTTAACTTGAAGCTTCGCGAGTCATCCCCTGTGTTTGAGTGGCTCGGAAGATCACATCGTGGTGTTTGGTGCCGCTTCAGGTCCTCGATGTTGGAATGGTTAGATGGTTAGATGGTTAGATACCTTTGCACAAGCACGCGGCACGCGAAGCTTCAAACTTGACATGCATGAAGTTTTGTGCCCTTGGCTTCAACCTGAAAACACGCTCTCCGACCGGAGTCCCCCCGGTCCGCCCGGTCCGAGGTGCGATGCGCCGGACAGCTCGGCGGACCCCGCGAAGATCTATCCATGCACCGCGGACCGGAGGTTGGTGTGGATCGGTTGCGTCTCGATTTCGGGCGCAGTCGGGCAGGACTGGAAGGAACCTGGCCGTTTCCGAATTCCCCTTGGGATTGAACCCGAAACCAATCCTAAACCCATCTAAGCCCTAGATGTTTCAGAAATTCAACTCCAAACCGATAGGACAACATGCTGCTCTTTCCTTTGAACCCCAAACCCGCTTCACAAATTCAACTCCAAAGCGATAGCACAGCATCCTTTTTCCTTTGACCCCTAAACGGTCTTATAGCTTGTTTGCCTTAAACTCGGGTTTGGGCTTCATTGAAGTTTATGCTTTGATCGCTGTAAAGCACAATCAAAGCGAAACATTCCAAGAGCAGCTACAACAGTAAAACACCGCACGCTGCTCTTTTCTTTGAACGCTAAACCCCAAACTCTTCACAAATTCAACTCCAGCATGCCGTTCCTTTCGTTGAACCTTAAACCCCAATTGTTGTTTCGCATGTTCAACTCCCAACTAGGACAGCACGCCGCTTTTTGAAGCCTAAACCCTAGGCCCTAGACTTTTTACAAATTCAACTCCAAACCGATAGGACAGCACGCTTCTTCTAGGAGAGTGTGGTATTGAAAAACAACATTGAAGATATTTTGGATTTTCTTGTGGATTCCCCAGCCGTGTTTGGACCCGATTTCACCAAAAAATTGCACGCCGTTGAATTCAAGAATTCTTCTGCGCAGGCGCTGCGGTTGACTGCTTTGCGCCCTAGTGACAGTGAAGTGAAAGAATCCCCTTGGATTCCCTATGGTTCCCTTTTCGACCTATTTTGGGGTCACTCCTGTTTTTGACTTTGTTCATGATGGTTGAACCGAGGCTTCGACACACAGGGCTCTGCTTCTTCGGCGCTTTGGTTCCTCGAGCTCAGAACTCGGGGCAGGGTAGATGGAATCCGAATGTTCAGCAAACATGCCATGATGCAACATGTTTCTCTCAGAAGCCCTCTTTTAGACAGATACACAACAATAATAACTGTATTCAATTGTTGTATTTTCCTTTATGCACATATAATGACCCTTAGACGTCTGCTGATTCTTCGGGTTGCTGCATTCCAGATGTTCTCGATCCCAAGCTTCGTCGCCACGCTTCTTCGGGTCGCTGCGCCCGCCCTGCAGAGGTTCCAGCGCCACGAGTGGGAGAAGCACGGCATGTGCGCGGGAGTGCGGAACGCGGACGACTTCTTTCGGCAAGTCTGTCAACTCTCCAGTGCCCCACTGCAGGCGATTGGCAGGTGACGGCAGGACGCAACGCAGCAGTGGTTGCGAAAGAACATCAGTGGTCTTAGGAATGATGCTAAGGGACTTGGAGAGTTTGAGGATGTTTGTTTGAGGCATGGCCTCTTATGGCCTTTTGCTTGATATTGAGACATGTTAAGCACGACTCTCGAATCCAAATTTAGACATTGATGTCATTCGGATTCAAGTCTTTCCCACAGTTCGCGCAACGGTTTTTGGCGCAGTCGACAGATCGGAATTGGAGTTCCTTTCGATCACAACATGACCCCTCCCGCAGAGTAACATAGAATCACAATGGACCCCCGAGAATTGACGGTTCGACCAGTAATTGCCCTTGTTTGCCCTTGTGGTCCTTGCAGGTCGCTGTGATCGCTTTGTGGTCGCGTCGATCATCGCCAGGTCATGGCCGGTGCTCGTGCCGCGGACCTGGACCTGGTGGACACCGCGGATCAGTTGCAGCGCGCCGGCTTCTGCGTCTATCACCTGGTGGGGGGGCCCTTTTGGGGCTCGGGATGGGGGGGCCTGGTGAGGTGAATGAATTGAATGGGGGAGGAGACCCGGGTGAAACGGCAGGTCGAAACAACACCGGCTGCGAGTTCGAAGGCTGCGCTCGGCTGCGCTGCGACAGTGGGGGCATTGTGTGTGTTTGTTTCAAGACTCCGCTGGGTTGACTCCTCTGTGCCACGTTTCCTGAAATGGGGTGATGAACATGTGTTCCCAATGTGTTCCTCAAAGGGCTGGGATCTACTGCATTTTTTGAGCCAAATGTCCTAAGAGAAGAAGCTCCAGTTGCCCATTGGTCGACAATATGAGTCTTGAAGATCACAAGTTTGCCTAGGATCGCCGAAACTGATGCTCCCTTATTTGATCAATTTACTTATTATACCATGCCCATAACTTTTCCCTTGATCTGTGCTTAGCTGGAGAGAAAAAACAAACTGCTCGTTCCTTCCGAGTCACTGCTGCGGGTTGCTGTCGGACCGTCGGACGTCGTGCCGTCGTCCCGTCGTCGCGTCGTCGCGTGCCTTGCCAGGACAATTACAACAAGCAGGTTCAGCTCTCTGCCTGTCAGGACGGGGTGAGTCGTCGCTGCAGCAGGCCCCACACGTGCCGCACGTGTGTCACCAAGCACGTAGCAGGCTACCCGGTCGTTGGGCCGCAAAACGCTTCGGGGCGTCGTTCGGTTCGTTGGATTCAGCTGCGAGTTCACTTGGACGAACCGAACGGGTGGATGTTCGGTCTCGGGTGGATGTTGGCCTTGCACATGGGAGGACCAGAAAGGGACTTGGCACCTAGCCGATGTGAACAGCTTCTTGGGCCTTCAAAGCCTGCACAGTCTGATCATGTGGCCAGTTAACACCATGTGCAGTTTGAATGAAGAGAGACCTCCCGAGGCCTGAATTGCATTTGATGGGCTTCTTGAGTGCAGACCATTTCAGACAAAACTGGTTGGTCTTTCTGCAAGTCCACAGCGGTGGCTCCATGGTGGCCAGATCCCTGAGGCTTCTCGCGAGTTTGTGGCGGCGGAAGCTCAGGAGATGGGTACATGGCCTCGACGGCAAACCACACTTGTTTCCAACAGCTAGTAAGGCACTTGTTACTAGAAGCGATGCACTTGTTCCATAGTAGCTTCTTGTTCGCAAAGACTCTTTTAGACCTTTGTTTGTTTAGAAAGTTCATGCTCGAATGCATGAATGGGAGAATGACGACCAAGTTGCCAGGTTCCATTTGGTGGTTGTGTTTGATAGCGCTTTTTGATGCTTTTTGGCTTTACCCTGTGGATGGAGGAGGCACTGCAGCAGGGCAATGTATCACCGGTCAGCGTGGACCAAGGCACGGACCAGTGGCGTTGACTTGTGTTTGCCCTTTCCTCCCCGACCAGAATCACAAAGGAAACATGAGCTGTACCGTTTCCACACTTTGGAAGCCTCACGGCCGCACACGGAAAAGAACAGAAGACGGCAGAGCATAGCTGAGCAACGGTGTGTGTGTGTGTGGGCGCGTGCGCATATATGTCTCACAACAACGGTGGCCCAGCAACGAACAGTCTGAAAGCCATCGGCTGCTTCGTTGGGCCGTTGGGGTGCCATGGGGTGCAGCCGATGGCTTCAAAGCTTTCTGGGCTTCGAAGGACTCACAAACAAGGGGCGTGTCGTTGCTAGCCTTTTGGGCTCTTGAGCAGTTTTGTTTGCACATGCGCAGCATGTTACATGGCGAATGTTCAGTCCTTTTGATGAGACTGGCATTGGCTACCTTTGCTTTTGGAGTAGCAGCTAAGCCTGCTAAGCCTCATATCATCTTCCATGTGAACCTTGCCTGCAAGACCCTTTTTATAGCTACATCCTGTCATTCTTTGCTTGGAATTCTGGGGCGGTCCAAGATAGTGCAGACTGTGACGGTCTTGCACTCGGGCCAGGCTTATGGATGTCCGGAAGAAGAAAGAAGAACCACTTTGTTTGGTGTGGATGATCCTGGTACTGGTATGCCAGAATGAATCAAGCTGAACACAAACCTACAGCACCTACGGAGTTTGCCCATTGCAAGCTGCGAAGAATGTCAAGGAGTCCTTACATCAATTTTCAGGCTAGAAAGACACAGGGCCATGGAAGGGTTTCAAGGCATTCTCATACGGTCCAAGCTGTTGCCAATTGCTCCAAGGGCTTGGAATTTCACCTCTCAGCATGGCGGAACCGCTCGCACCATTCGACGGCCAGCCGTCGGTAGAGCCCGTTCCGTCCGCCCAGGATCGACGACTTCGGTTGGGATGATCCTGGTTTTCGAAACCATCAGATTCACACACCGGCCCTGCCACTTGGCAAGACCGAGCTGTGGGGCTGAGTTGGACTTGGGTTGGGTGAATCCAAGACCTACAGTCTGTAAGAGGGTTTCAAGGCTTGTCGGAAATGATGTTGGCGGAAATTCGGTAAGAATTGTTCAGACAGAATGGAAAGTAGCTCCTAGTCTAGTGAGATGTTCATGCTGGCGTTGTGGAGGGGGGTGATCAGGCATTGTTTGGATCTGTGCTTGACCAGACATTTGTTCCAACGTTGTCCGACTGCCTTTCCCGCCAACGTTGTGCCCACAGGCTGTGGAGTGTTGGCAAATGAATGTGTCACATACACTCTGGCTCACTAACATGGAAGTGGAAAATGGTCCCCTGGAAGACTACTTTCCTTTACGAACCTTCCAGGTGAAAGTGTTCGTCGGGGTGTAATGCCAAGACTATTTTTAGAAGAGCATCTTGCGTTCACACGTCACCACGCCGCCATCCGCTCGCTTAGCTCGCTCAGGGACATGTTTCACCAGCAGGGCATCACACTGGATCAGTACTACGTCCAGCCATCCTGCTCCCCCAGCAGGGCCACCTTCATGAGTGGCCGGATGCCCCTGCACACAGGCCGTGGTGTGGGGGGTGTCAATGGGAGGCCTGGCCCTGGGTGGGTAGACTGGTCCATGTCCCGAACCTTCCAGGGGGTCAGAACGCCTGGAGTCGGTCTCCCAATTTGAATACACATCGACACCCATCCTATACCCAGACACTCCATGACTGCCCAGCAGAGTGCCCATCAGTTGGGGTGGTGGTGCCGGCGGGGTGTCCATGGGGGTGGCATCTATGGCAGTCCCATGAGTGGTGTTTGGGATATGTGAGGCCAATATGTCGCGCCACTGGAGGGCGCCACGGTAGCTTTATTCCAGGTCACCACGGCGAAAACCACTTAGTTCGTTTGTTTTCTTCAGAGCAGAATGGCACCGCCACGCTGTTCGAAGGCATCAACGATTGGATCCCCAACAAGGCCTATGGATTGCCACTGGATGAAACCACCTTGCCACAACTGCTTGGCTCCTCGGCAGCTTTTGGCCTTCTGACCGGCTCGGCAGGTTCGTGACGAGTCTGACCGTATCTCGTGACGAGTCGGTTGGGCGCGTCGTGTCAACAACAACGCGTTCGTGGGCGCGGTGGTCCCAGTGCGTTGGACTGGGAAGGCCGACAAGGCGGTCCACCTGTGAGCTGTTACCACGAACCTACGGCGCCTCAGGTTCGGCAGGCTACAAGTGCCACGCCGTGGGCAAGTGGCACTTGGGATTCTTCAGGACACTTGCTAGCAGAACATGAAGGAAAGTTGATCCCCAGTCATGTAGGCTCTTCATTCATGAATCCTATCTCACTAGTACGGGCAAAGATCGGATGCCCGCTCCGTCAATCCAAATGGGGTGTCCAAAATGGATCATCCAAATAAAAAACACAATATACACGAGGCAGACGGGCCCATGTCCGGGGAGGCTGTTGATGTCTTCCAAAAACAGAAACAATGGCAAATGCAGGAGACCGCATTCGCCCTTCCAAGTTAGCCATTTCGTTCATGATTTGGTCCAACCAACACTTACGGTAGATACCGTACCAATCCGTATTAAAGAAGGTAAAACCTACCAGCATCTTGCTTAAACAGAACCTCGGGCTCAGTTATTGCCAGTTAAATCCAGGTCCATCCGGGTTTTAGCCAAGAACTTTCGATGGGTCGTCAAACATATCCAGACGTTCTCACGAACTAAAGTTCTAGTGTATAAAAAGCAGGGAACATCAAGTCTAACCCGACTAGGTTTCACAAATGACCATGAGGGGGAATTTCTAGGCGGCCACAGTTGCCTAACGCTATCGAAACATACGGCACCATACACAACATGCTCAAGACCATGCCTCATGACCCGCCGTTTCATACTGATGTCCTGCTACCACCGTTGCCTCACTGAGCCCTCCTCGATCTGAGGACAGAGTACACACCGACATTCAGAGGCTTCGAGTCCTTCTACGGCTTCTACGAGGGATCGGAGGAAGCGATCGGCGCGCAGCGGTCCGCGTCGATCTCCGTGACTCGTTGACCCCGTGTGGAGTAGACGGAGACCAAACGCCGAGCTAGACGGGCACAGGGCCTGCTAACCAGTGCGCTTGAGTATTTGCATGGCATTTGCCATTTGCTGCATGATTACTTTGAACATGCGCAACTGCCGCAACTGCATTGAATCTCCGATCTGACTCATGGATTCCCTTTGTAATTACCAAGTTCCAAGCTTCATGACCGGATAGCCACCAATAAAGGTGAAGAATCGATCGTCCGGGCATAGACGAGTCGACCACCAAGATGTCCATGTGGGTCACATGGTCCTCAAACCGTGGAACCGCTTGCAGGACTATTTTAAGCATACCAAAGATGGCGGCTTTGACTTGCACCGGGACCCGAGCAAACGCAGACAAGCGGCGGACATTGGCCCACAAATGTTTTTGGGGGGTTGCTTGAACAGAAGATCGCAGCAGCTTTAAATCACAGGACATTCTATTTGCCTATATAGTAAAAACATGTAAAAACCAGAGGCTTTCGGGGCATTTGCATCAGCTTCTTGGTAGATGCAGTTCTCCGATTGCTGGGTTGGTATGCTTTTAAGGTTTTGTCATCGATATATGGACTGGTGGCTTAGATATCTGTAGTAGCCGCTACTAAGACTAAGCCCATGTTGTAATGAACAATTGCCATTTCACCTGCCGACGTTTCTGAATTGTTGTCAATTTTTGGTGTGGTGCCATTGGACAAGGTTGTCTTCACTTCTCTTGAAAAGTCGATATGTGATTTGCGCGGCTTGCATGTGTCATATGAAGGTGGTGTGAGGACCTACCGTCGGTGGTCTTTGTTGACCATGGAAGAATCATGAGAGCTCGACCAACAATGCCAAACAGATGATGGAGCCCAAGGGAATCTGTGAGTTCCTTGACTGGTGTGACTGGTGTGAGTTTTGTCCCTCTTCAGCTCACGAGGAGGCTCAGCCGCGCTGTGGTCCTGGCTGCACCACGCTGGCCTGGGAGGATACAGATCAGTGCCCATCGATGCGTCGGGGCAGGGGTTCGAGAGAACGAGGCCGGAGGAGTGGGCGGTTTGGAAAGGATTCCAGCGTGGGTACCAGGGAAATTGGGGAGGGACATCGACCGCAAGCTCTTGAGAAAGAATTGGAACGGCTGGATGTATTTTTGGGGGGTGTTTTCTTCCTTCCGAAATCCATTGGGAAAAAAGAGTTGATGGGATTTTCGTGTTTTATTTTTCCGGTTGTACCAGCAATGTTTGAGTCAGGGTAGTTGAGAGTTCCGGTGCCATCCACTAGGTACTCCACCAACCTCTTCGCCGATGAGGCCCTTCGAATCATTGATCGACACAATACTTCAGAGCCTGGGCGCGGAGGTGGAAGCCATGGAAAGTCCAATGTAGACTCTTGAGGACCATAACTCCCCCCATTTAGATTGAAAAGCCTCTTCATATGTGGTGTTTAGTAATCAAGCGTCTATGATGTCTATGTAACTATTGGGATCCTTGGGATGTGGCCATTCTCGGTTCATCACAGGCGTGGGCTCGTCATGCCCACTCCTCAGTCCCGTAGTGCGGTCGGACCGTTGCGTCGACAGCACGGTGGGTGTTGTCGTTCTCCGCCCGTGTGCAGCGCCCATGTCTCAAGCAGTTTACAGAGACTGCAGGCGTGACAGCAATGTGCCAGTCAATGTGCCAACTTCTCACTGCAAAACATTGCCGTGAAAACTGCTGAGGGAGACCCAGCTTCTCTCCCAATTCTGGCATAGAAGAGAGGCTTTTTCTTCTACAAAGAAGAAGTGAAAGAGATCGAAACCATATCATATATATTATATATAGATTGCGTCGGCAGTGCGGTCCCCGATTTTTCCGCCGAAGACGCAAAGCTTCAGAGCTTCAACCGAAGATGCGAAGCTCCGAAGACGCGGAGCTTCAGAGCTTTGATACAAGCTCTGTAGGGCCTTTTCACGGCAATTCACGGTGATTCAGGGCAGTTTTCTGATGATAACTTCATGTGATTGTTTTAATCTAACGCTGTGTGTTCGTAAGTGGTAGTGCAGATTCCATGGTAGGTTCAAAAAAGGTACCTTCACTTTTAAGGGCCTGGAAATGTATAGAGGCGTTGAAGGCTACGGGATTCCGCTCATTTCAACCACCGCGTGTGAAGCGCTTGCGAATATGCTCTGGGCTCAGAGTGGCGGGGCGAGGTTGAGCCCGGAATGCCATGGCCATGGACTAGGTGCCATGGGAAGTCGATCAGGTGTCCCAGAAGCACTTTCATATGGACACTTGGCAATGAATTTGTGAACGGTGGCCTTAAACCGAGACTGGCTTTTTGCCAACTTACGATTGGGTGTTCCCGATTGCGCAACTACTTCAATATGTACTGTGACCTCGCTGTTGAGAAACAGCGACATGTTCCCTGCCTGCCTGCCATCAAGTTCAAAGTAGAACTGGAAGGCATAGCTTTCTCATGTTTTATCATTGGTTGATCAAGTGAGACTAATCGTTTAAGGAAACAACGTTTTGCCGCGAAGCAATAGCAATCCAATTTGGCACTTATTTGAATGTACTTGATCATTTCAGCTGTCTCGCAAACTCACGAGAGCCTTTTTCGCGGGAATCTCTCGGCCACCCACTTCCAACGAACACAACATTGAATATTGAATTTCGAAATCGAAGAGTGAACTTCTCCCAAACCTCCCTCTGTTGTCCCACCAAGGCGCCAAAAACCCACTGGGCGCATGGATTGCAGGATTCGCGCGCCGTGTCCCCGGCGCCTTTGATCCTTTGATGACCACTGCTGTGATGAGGACAAGATGCGGTGCCAGCCATGACCACGGGAATGATGGACGTCCCAACGGATCAGTGCAGGCCTGACCAGTCTGCGGAAAACTTTGAGTTGGGCACACACACAAAAAAGGGCGGTCGCACATGAGGCATTGGAAGAAGAACCTCTCAGCTTGGGGCTTCGCCTGCAGCAAAGCTTCATGATCATGTCTGGTATAGGTCTGTGTGCCAAATAATTCTTTTGGCTCTAGATGCAGTTCTGCTGGGATGGGGAGCGCCGGCCCGCCCCACGGCGCACGCCTGCTTTGATGCAGCAGATGGAGGACATTCTACCTGCATGCTGAAAAGGGTTCCCAAACAACACAGTTTTCAAAAAGAATGGGAGTCAATTTCAGACCGTGTGTTGGAGGAACAACGAAGAAAATCGTTTTTAGTCTTGTGGCTTGTGGCTAGCTTTTGGCATCTTTGGCAGGACGTGCAGCAAGGAGCAGGTGACGGTGACCAGACTGGAGGAGATTGCACCTGCGTACTGAGCAGTGTTCCCAAATATTGCTGCCTTAAAAGCAAGGCATTGTTGTCGGACGAAACGCCAAGTATGTTTCTCGTTTTTTTAACCAATGCGTGGTGAGAACTTGACCGTGCTCTCTGCAAAGTGTGCAACGCAGCAGTGTGTAAAACGTGTTTTTTCAGAACAATGTGTTTGCCACCAAACAGTCCGAGACCTTGCTCTGGGCCAAAATAAAGAAAGAGATAGTGGCAGACACACCTGAAGGGCAACTCTGGCATTGCTTCAGCACTTGCAGCAAGTAGCACCTGACCAGAACACCTTGGCGGATGCATCCAGGAAAGCAGCTGGACCCAAGCACCAGCTGCAGGACATTCAATCCGCATCCTGAGATCTAAAATTGTGTCTGTTCAAAAAGCAGAGTTTTCGGACGAAGTCGCGCAAACGATCCATATGCATGTGCAGTGCAAAGCTGAAAGTCACCGGCCGTGTGAAACGGCAGTCTTTGTCGAAACAATGTGCAGTTTTTCCTCCAAACGATGGATAGATAATGAGGCAGTAGGGCGGTGCACGCATAAGCTAACCGTATATGATATATGTTTGGTTTCTACCCAGTTTGATTCGAGAAAGTTCGATTTCGAGACTTGTGAACTGAGTCGGGAAAGAGAAGGGGTCAAGCTCCGACCTTTGGATTAAAAACAAGAACGCAGACGATACCCGACCAGACAAATCCGGAGGATGCAGCCACGGAAGCACCATCAGCTAATCTACGATCTTGTCACGCGAACAGTTCAGCAGCAACGGCTGACCATTTCGGCTGGCTCCAAAAAAGCCGGCGCGGATAGCATCCATGTTCGCGAACGTGCTGTCGATTTCATAGTCGCTGGAGAACCCTTTCACGACGTCATCAATGCCAGAAAAGTCGTGCCAGCCAGACATGCAGATCGGAGAGATTGGGACTTTGACCACATGCAACTCCTCATGCGGCTCCATGCACCAATGGATGACCGGCAGACGCAGGACGCTGTGCCAACTCTATCCAGCAAAGGAAGAGCACTGTTGCTGCAAGCGGCCCAGAAGTGTAGAGTACCGGAGCAAGAGCAGGACGTCCTCGACGAGGTCAAACTCGTTTCTCACATCGCCAAAAGTGCTGGTTGCGACCAGTTCCTGCGCGTCGCTCTACCTAATTTACACCAGTCCAGAGTCTCCATGCCTTCAGTTTCTACAGAAGATATGATAGTTATGCCTTGTGTCAGCATAGGTGCCTACAGGCAGTTGCGAACACGCATACTCTACACAAGTTATCACATATATATATATATACCTGGACCTCCCTTCGCTGAACGTTTTTTAGTCTCCCAATTTTTTGGGTCTCCTGCTTGTATCCACGAACAAGGAGATTCCAAGCACTGCCCGTGGCATTTGGACGGCTTCAGCAACTGTGTTGTGAATATGAGAGGATTTTGGTGCGAAAGACACTCGAATTTGTGAGAAAACAGGATGCACACAACACATAAAAGGGGAAGAGTTCAGAAAGGGAAAACCTAGGAGAAGTTTGCACCGGTTGTAGAACTTTTTAAAATGAAGGAAGGAAGGAAGGAAGGAAGGAACAGGGAGTGGCAGGGTTGTAGAACTTTTCTACCAGGTCCGTCCACATATGGGTATGTCCGGCAGGAACTCTGATTTCTGGATTTTTAGTTTCAGACTAAAAAATTAAAGAGCCTTAAAAACATACGTCTTACGGGAGGTCTAGGTATATAAATATAAATATTGCTACTTACCGCGTCCTGCAATTCGTCTCGCTGCATCCTGCAGGCTTGGGACTGTGGACTCTCCACCACAGCCACACGGGTACGCCTCCGGCAAGGAATTTCGACGGGAAATCCGCAGAGTGGCTGCGTGGTACCAGAGACCACACTTGGGAGGTGCATCACTATGGAACCACAAGTTGGCCCTGCACTACCAGCGTCTGCAGGGCAAGCGCAGGCAAGAGGGTTTGCTTCAATGGCACCTTTGCGGACAAGTTCTCCGAAGAGCAAACTTGAAGATACACTCAGGAACTGTGGCCGTGGAACGACAATGGTCGTACCTGACCTCAGTGCTGCCAATGCAAAATCGCGGCATGCGTGAAGACACGTGGCGCCTGTTGTCAGGCATGACCTTTCTTCGGTCCACGTGGCTGCACTTCAACAATACACACCCGTGGACGCGAAGAGATTCGGCTCTGCAGCAGAAGTACAATGAGGTCCACCAGTTTCTGCAGGAGTTGCGCGGGGACAGAGATGCAGCCATTCAACAGGAGCTCCGTCAAACGCTTGAGGTTGCGTAGGTACCACAGCAAAAAGCGCAAATGTCAGTGGACTCAACGCGGTGTGGCAGTGCAGTGTGGCAGTGTGAAGAAGCAGTGCTGTGTGGCAGTGCGAAGACGGCAGTGCGGTTGCCGCGCCAGTGTCAAAATAGAGTTTGCCTCCGCTGCTTCCGCGCACTGTTCGACCTAGAGGGTAACTTGCGACTTACTGTAGTCACGGAGCTGAACATATACTAGGCCGGTGGTACTGCCATAACTTCCCGGTGCAAACGCACTGTATCTTTTCAAAACCAAAGACAACGTACCTCCAGTGCAGTCAGGTCAAGATTGATTTTCGACAAGTGCAGTGGCCGCCTGCCACCGGACTACTTGTCGGACCGAGCAGCTGCTGCTTGTGAATGACTTGGGCAGCAGTGGGAGGGGCCAGAAAACCTTCAAACCTGGTCTCCGACACTTGGTTGGATCGACGCCCTATCCGATCGGAGGGTAGTCCACACGTCCCCCAAAAAATCGATAGATGGCTGGCATCACAGCCCATGAGTAGACGGGTCACATTTTGGGGTTCACATTTCGTGAAGTCAGTGCACAAAGTTACTCGTTTTTCTTGGGCATGAGTCGGAGACCCCTGCGCCTCAAATCCGGCCGACAGACGCACTAGCTGACAGATTTCCAGTGACGGGCGCAAGTGCCTCCGGCCGGGGTGGAGATGTGGCATGGGATGCGACGTGGAGTGCATCAATCAGACGCAATACGCGTTC